CAACAAAGAGAGCACGAGCTTTGAAGTAAGCCAGATTCCAGGCAGATTGAAATGCTCAACATTTAAGCCAGAAAAATAAAAATCTATGGAGAAAAACAAATACTGCATGACCTCTCTCATGTGTGGAATCTTAAAAACAAACAAACAAAAAACCTGAACTCTTAGATACAGGAAATAGATTGCTGTTTGCTGGGGGGAGGGGGAGGGGTGGTGGGTGGGGCGGCAGGTGGAGGATGGGTGAAGAGGGTCAAAATGTATAAACCTCCATGTCATAGGGATGTAATGTACAGCATGGTAACTATGGTGAATAATATTGTATTGCATATTTGGAAATTGCTAAAAGAGTAAAGCTTAGAAGTTCTCATCACAAGAAAAAAAAACTCTGTAGCTCTATGTGGTAAAGGATGTTAACTAAACTTACTGTGGTGATCATCTCGTAATACAGTTGTCCCTTGAACAATGCAGCTTTGAACCGTGTGGGTCCATTTATATGCAGATTTTTCCCATAAATACAGTCCTGGTAATGTATTTTCATTATGATTTTCTTTTCTCTAGCTTACTTTATTGTAAGAATACAGTATATAGGGGCGCCTGGGTGGCTCAGTCGTTAAGCTCTACCTTCGGCTCAGGTCATGATCCAAGGGTCCTGGGATCGAGCCCCGCATTGGCAGGAAGCCTGCTTCTCCCTCTCCCACTCGCCCTGCTTGTGTTCCCTCTCTCGCTGTGTCTCTCTCTGTCAAATAAATAAAATCTTAAGAAAAAAAAAAAGAATACAGTATATAATACATACAAAAGATGTGTTACTCAATTGTTTATGTTCTTCAGTAAGGCTTCCAGTCAACAGTAGGCTATTAATAGTTAAGTTTTGGGGAGTCAAAAGTTATACGTGGATTTTCAACTGTGGTGGGTAGTGCTCCTAACCCCAACATTGTTCAAGGTAATCACAGGGTGCCCAGCTGACTCAGTTGGAAGAGCATGCAACTTTTTTTTTTTTTAAGATTTTATTTATTTATTTGACAGAGACATAGCAAGAGAGGAACACAAGCAGGGGGAGTGAGAGGGAGAAGCAGACTAGCTGCTGAGCAAGGAGCCCGATGTGGGTCTCAATCCCAGGACCCCGGGATCATGACCTGAGCCCAAGGCAGACACTTAACGACTGAGCCACCCAGGTGCCCCGAGCATGCAACTCTTGACCTCAGGGTTGTGAGTGCAAGCCCCACGTTGACTGTAGAGGTTACTTAAAACTAAAATCTTTAAAAAGAAAAATCTAATCATTATGTTATACACCTGAAACTAATATTGAAGTTATTTATACCTTGATTTTAAAAAATACAGAAAGGGGGACACCTGGGTGGCTCAGTCGGTTAAGCATCCAAACTTTAATTTCAGCTCAGGTCATGATCTCAGGGTTGTGAGATCAAGCCCCATATTGGACTCTGTGCTGGGCATGGAGGCTGCTTAAGATTTTCTCTCTTTCGCCCTCTCTCTGCCTCTCCCCCCCCATCTAAAAAAAAAAAAATACAGAAAGGGGAAAAGAAGTATAAGATGTGTAGTAAATGAAAAATGTAAAATAAAATGCAGAAATAAGTACTTATATTGGAATGAATTATAATAAATATACATTAATTAAATTGACCAAACACTGTATGTTAACTATGCTAGAATTAAAAATTGTTTAAATATTAGACTGACTAATTAAAAACCAGACTCTGGGGGCGCCTGGGTGGCTCAGTCAGTTAGGCCTGCAGCTCTTGATTTTGGCTCAGGCTGTGATCTCAGGGTCCTGGGATTGAGCCCCATGTCAGGCTCCACACTCAGCAGGGAGTCTGCTTGGGGATTCTTTCTCCCTCTCCCTCTGCCTTTTTCCCCTCCCACACTTGTGCTTGCATGCTCTCTTTTTCTCCTTCTCTCTCAAATAAAAAAATAAATCTTAAAAAAAAAACCCCACTCTGATTGGGTTAAAAAGTAAGATCCAATAATAAGTTGTCTAAAAGAGAAACTTAAAAGGCACAAAAAGTTTAAAAATAAAAGATGGAAAAAAATTATGAACCAAAAGAAAAAAAGGGGAAGAATCTTAATAGCTGACAATATAGAATATAGAGCAAAAAAATATAAGGGACAAAGAAGGACATTATATGCTGATTAAAGGAATAGAGCAAGAAGCTCTAACCATCAAAAACCTGTATGCACCTAACAATACAACATCAAAATATACAAAGAAACATCTTTAAAAATTTTCTGGGAGAAATGGATAAATCAAGTTATAGTTAAAAGATTTTAGCCACATCTTTCAGAAATTGATAAATCAAGCACATAAAATAAATATATTGAAATTTTTGAATAATTCAGTTAGTAAGCTAAAGCTATGAGGTAGGTATAGAACCCAACACCCAAGGAATAGTTCAATAATAACTTTCAGATTAAACTATGTGAAGATGTCCACGGCTGACAATTTTTGGCCCATAGAAGTGGTAGTTTCATCTTATTCAACCTAAACCACATAGATTGCTGAAGGAACTAAATCAGCTAATGTGTATAAAACAATCAGCACAATGTCTAATTTAGTCTCCTTTGGTCTGTAGTCTACTGAGAGTACTTGCCTTGATTATTGGTTCTCATAAATTAATTCAGTAAAACCCTACTGTAATTGGGTGAGAGCCAAAGAATTCAGTAATGTGAAATGTAAGGTCACAGTTTTTTGTAAGGTTAACAACAAAACAACCAGTGTGGAGCTAGCTGGTGAGGAATTCTGGGAGTCCAACTGCCATATCTAAATTCGGCCAGACAAAGCTGTAATTTGGTGCCACCTGGTGGTTGGCTCCAATTTAAATATTGTTGGGACAGTTCTGAGTCCAGAGGCAGCAGGAAAGCATCAGTGATTCCAGAAATGTCCCAGTTAGTTGGCCAGATTCCGAAATTTACCTTGGAGAATACGGAGACCAGAGACTCACTCTTCACCTATCTCTTTTTCTGAAACAAGTTTACATGCCTTTCCTTTACCTTCATGACCTTGGTCTCCACCCCAAGATCCCTATCCCCACCCCTAGCATAGAACTTTAACCCCTACCCCTGACTCTTATCCCTGTACTGTTCTCAAACAGGGGCTAGGCCCAGAATGGAAGCCAGTTGCCAATTCTGCATTATATCTAAAATTATATTTTTGATGAGGGCATTATTATGGGGTTTTACTGTGCTTATGAAGGATCCCCTGAATGCACACAACATAGTAGCACTATATTTTTTTATTTTAAAGCCTTTGATTACTGCAAGTGTTTCTGGTTGGCTATAAAAAGCCTTTATTTAGTTGAGACTAATTGAAATTCAAGCAGGAAAATAAAAGGAAGACATGCAAAGGGGGAAATTTTCATCTGGAGAATATTAACCCTATTATATGAATGCTATGAAAACTTAAATTTACAGTTGCCTTTTGTGGATGATCTCTTGTTACCCAACAGGCTCAGAACTTCTTAGTTTGGTTATTTCTTTGTTGAATTTCTCGGTTTGGGGGGTAGCTTTTCCTTCCTCATATAAACACGTGGCCCTACTCCAGTCTTACAGGCGTGCCCCCTGAACACACAAACTGGGCTTCTCAGCATCTGCACGGAGGGGCAAGCCTGTAAAGGGGGTAGTGGTCAGTTATTGGTTACATTTCTGTTTCTGTCCTCATCACTCTTCCTGGCGACCCTCCACTTGTGAGTTACGGCTGGGTCACTAAACCGAGTCGGAGATAGGCCGTCTGAGAGCCCGGCACCGCTGAGATCAGCAGAGTTCGCTGTTTGAGATCAGGCTCGTCTTGGCTTGTGGCTGCCAGAGGTCATGTCTGTCTTCAATGAAATTGTCGAGCACCAAGGAAGATTTGTGGCACCCCCCAGCACAGGCCTTCATCTGCCCACTACCTATTGTTCTGACCTTACCTGTTACTTCTGCCTGGCCTCTAACTTCACTGGCTCTCTGGTTTTTACTCAAAAGGGCTATTTATAGCTTTCCAAATATGGCCTGCAGTTTCCTACTCAGCTGCTGCCCACGGTATTCTCTGCTCAGAATGCCCTTCACCCAGCCTGTGTGGGTCAGAATCCCGCTCAGCCTTCCTGTAGCCTCTCAGGACAGCCCCGTCCTTCACGGAACCTTCCTGAGCCAGCTCCTCACTCATCCTTAACACTGGGTCTCCCTCTGGTGCCGCCTTCTGCTTTATATTACAATATGACAGTTCTGAGGGTTAGCGGTTGATTCCTTGGGTAGACTGAAATCTCTGTGAGGACAGGGACTTGACGTATCCATTTTTTAATTCCCAAAAGGGCTCAAAGCTTCGCAGTTGTAGGTGTTCAATAAATATTTGTTTAATTTGAAAGTTTTTGTCACATTAAAACCAGTCAGGCTGTCTTCCAGAGAGTTCTCACCCTCTCCTGCCAATGGCATGGGTGCACAACCCTAATTTAGGTACTAAAGGGCCTCCCCCACCTCTCTTTACAAGTGATAACAGCCAAATTCTGTCCCTGCAAAAATTCTCTGGGAAGGTAGCCATTGGGAAAACACATTCACTTACTCTAGCCTAGACTAGAGATCCCTTTGGCACTGAAATAATTTACTTACTTACCCAATGTCAAGGCTGAATAAATGCAGTCTCCCCCAAGTACAAAGTTTACTCACTCAGAGCTGGGATTGCTCGCCTGGGTGGCTCAGTCGTTAAGCGTCTGCCTTCGGCTCAGGTCATGATCCCAGGGTCATGGGATCGAGCCCCGCATCGGGCTCCCTGCTCAGTGGGGAGCCTGCTTCTCCCTCTCCCACTCCCCCTGCTTGTGTCCCCTCTCTTGCTCTCTCTCTCTCTCTCTGTCAAATAAATAAATAAAATATTTTTTTTAAAAAGCTGGGATTGCAACAAGTATCTTACAAAGAATTTGAGTGGGTACAGAAGCTGTACCTTTTGTGTGTCTTCATTTTTTAACATTTAAATGTTATTAAATCATTGGATAGCAACTTGGATGTAACATATTTTATTATAGATAACCGTTTGAAAACTTCAGTATCTCCAGAAAGAGAATTCAGGAAATACCAAATGTGTGTCTTAGAGAATCATAACGTAAGTGCCCTCTCTGTCCCCAAACTGGTTATGAGTTTCTCCCTTGCACTGTACATAGGTCATTTATTTCCACTGATGCTAATACTTTCCTTTAAAAAAACTGTTTTTAATTTTTTTGAAGAAAAGTAACCTCAAACCTCTCTAATTTCTAATGTAAGATATTCCGAGGGAAGCAGGTAATATAGATTATTGGACTCCTCTGGTCCCTTTTCCCTCAAATTCACACATGCGAGTTCCAAAGGGCAATTACTCCTCTTTGCTCCATGCTGATTGTATAGGTCAGGAGGGTAATAAGGTCGTTTATTTGAAGGATTTTCATCTGGTGTATTTCTAATATTCTTGCCCCGCTCCTGACCACTCAAATCAGTATCACAGTGAGACCAGCATCTCTCTCCCACCATCAAAGAAAATGATGAAACAAAGGTGATTTGAGTCTGAACTTTCTGCTCCCAAATTTATCATCTTCCCGGAGCACAAGGGTTATATTGCTTTAGTCTTTTAAACCAGTAATGGCTCAGTAATAATGTTAGTCCTTTAAACCAGTGACGGCTCCGTAATAACTAGTATCGTGTGTTTACTATTAACTCGATGGCTAAACCTCCAAGTTATTACATATTTTTCAAAAACATTATTATTGAATTCAGAAATTGCCTCTGGTAGAATCAGGAAAACAAGGTACTACACTAATAAAAGTAAATGTTACGTTATAATAAATTATTAAGAAGACACTGTGTTAGATACTTATATTTTACTTGAAAACTGGAATCTGATTAATTGCCTGAATGGGGATTTCCTTCCTAAAAGATTTTCCTAGTGCTTCCTTAGAAGCCACAGAGAAATTCTGAAACTGCCTTATAGATAACCTCAACTCAAATATGTTCAGCAAGATAATATTTTTGAGATATTAATCTATATTTTTATTCTCCTGTTATTTCTCCCTTTCTCTTCCCTGCCTCCAAGCAGAAATTCCCATCTGGGTTTATTGTCTTGGTGAAGGCATGAGATGGAACAGAAAGCTGAAATCGCCCTCAAGCTTTTGTTTCTAAAAGCGTAAAGCCCCAGCAAGGAGATGATTTGAGCCATAGGCAAAATGTCTTGGGCAGACGCAGGAGGATCCCGGACAGGGTGGTGAGGAGGAGCAGGGCTGGCACGGGAGCTTTCTGGCAACCTGGCTGGGAGGCAGGCCTGCCCTTCGAGAAGACACAGATGTGAGCCATGGCACAAACTAGAGGCTGTGGGCTAGATCTGACTTTGTTTGGCTGTGTGAATTTCAGTCATTCATATTAAAAATCTGGGCAATTTCACATAAAATTCCAGGTTTGGGTTTCTCTAAAGTAATTGGCGGATTTGGCCATACTGGATTCAGTCTATAATGGCACCAAATGGCTGTCTGCCTTGGATAAGGACTGAACCCTCTTGTTCGCCAGAGTCCCCACCCGTCCCTGCCTTTTCCCTGCACTGACACCAAGAGTTACTCATCCTAACACTCACTGCTGTTTTCCAGGCAATAGAGGATGCTCCTCTTTACCCAAGATTTTTTCCGTTAAGTGGAAAAACAAAAGATAGACTAAAGATGGCTCACATTGAAAGAAACAGGGGAGCTAGTGCATTTTTTTGTAGAAGTGAAGATGTTCTTATGTGTTGAAGAGGCAATCCACCAGCTTCCCGCTTGAATTCTCCTTGCTGCTTCCTGTAGGCATTTGCATCAAGTATCCCTGTTCCAGGCAGCCTTGCAAAGAGATGATCATGTCCCCAGTCAGGCTTGGCAGAGCCGCTGCCTGCAGGGCATAGTGAGCAGGACGATGGGTGGCTTATCCAGAACCGATGTGGGCAAATGCCTGGAGGTCAGAGGCCCTTGGAAGCCCGCTGAGGGTGGGGAAGACTCCAAAACAATGGGGCTTAACATAGAAAGTAAATTATAAACATAGTTATTTCACACACACAAATGTATGAACTCAGATCTCATGGAATACCTTTATTATCTCACTGGCTTGGTTGTTTAGCTCGGAGCTCTAGCGGCTCCATTGTGCTCACGTGATAGAGGCTTCCAGAACCTGTCCTGGAGAAAGACAGCAGGACGCAGTGTTCTTTTCCTTGTGGATGGCGGAAAGAGAATCAGCACTAGAATTGTGGTTTGGGAACCATCACCTGTTTTAGAATCATACGGTGGCATCTCTCCCTTTCTGCATGGAGTTTCGACTTAAAATGGGGCTCTGGGGGGCGCCCGGTGGCTCAGTCGGTTAAGCGTCTGCCTTCGGCTCAGGTCATGGTCCCAGGGTCCTGGGATGGAGCCCCGCGTCGGGCTCCTGGCTCAGTGGGGAGTCTGCTTCTCCCTCTCCCTCTGCTGCTCCCCCTCTTGTGCTCTCTCTCTCTGTGTCAAAAAAACAAATAGAATCTTTTAAAAACTAATAATAAAATAAAATAAAATGGGGTTCTATGGGTGTCAGCATTCAGGTTGGGCATATGAACCTTGGTGTTTTTGCTGCTAAACTAGAAATGTGTTTTTCAAAACCCCAGCTGTTATGTGCCTGGGTTAGTTATCTCAACAGGTCGCTTACCTCATTTATGACCAGTACAAATAACAGCTCTCCTTTACTGAGATAACCTTCCGCCAACCACTAGAGCAATGCTAAACCTAACCGCCTTGTTTATAACCACCCGGGGGGGGGGGGGTTGCCCCATGCTGTGAATAGGGAACCGGAAGCCAAAAAGTTTGAGCAAGCTTCTAAAATCTCACACTGGGCACACGTTGGAGTCGGGATTCAAATCCAGGTCCGCCTGACTGTATAAGCTCAGCACTCCACAGCTAGCAAGCACCACAGTATTTATTACCACTTGCTATCTGCCGGACAACAATTGGGCGGAGGGATGGAAGCATGAATGCAATGGCCAAATCTTCAGGGAGCAGCAAAATTAAATTAGGCACATTCTTTTTTTTAACGATTATTTATTTATTTATTTGACAGAGAAAGACACAGTGAGAGAGGGAACACAAGCAGGGGGAGTGGGAGAGGGAGAAGCAGGCTTCCCACAGAGCAGGGAGCCCGATGCGGGGCTCGATCCCAGGACCCTGGGATCATGATCTGAGCCGAAGGCAGACGCCCAACAACTGAGCCACCCAGGAGCCCCTAAATTAGGCACATTCTTTAGAAATAAAAGGGAAGGCAGGTTCCTGCAGTGACAGGTTTTGCAGGAGTCCTTGGATTTGTGCTGGTAGCAGAGGAAGTCACCTTGTCAGCGGAACATTCACTCTGGGGCCCTGTGCTTCTGGGATGCTAAGACTGGGTCCAGAATAGCATACTACTCTTTTCCCCGACTTTTATGAGTTGAAGTGTATCCCCCAAAAGACACTGAAATCCTTACCCTCAGTATCTGTGAACAGGACGTTATTTGGAAATAGGGTCTTTGCAGATGATCAAGTTGAGGTGAGGTCATTAGGATGGTTCCAATTCACTATGACTGGCATTCTTATAAAAAGGAGAGATTTGGGGGCACCTGGGTGGTTCAGTCAGTTGAGTGTCCGACTCTTGGTTTTAGCTCAGGTCATGATCTTATGGGTCATTGGATCTGGCCCCGCATCAAGCTCTGTGCTCAGTGGGGAGTCTGCTTGAAGATTCTCTCCCTCTGCCCTTCCCCCCCATGCATGACCGCATGCTCTCTCTCAAATAAATCTTTCATAAACTAAATTAAAATAAAATAAAAAGGAGAAATTTGGACACAGAGACAGGCATGTACAGAGGGAAGACTATGTGAAGACATAGGGAGAATGCCATCGACAAGCCAAAGAATAGCTGAGGCTACCAGAAACAGAGAGAGGCCTGGAACAGATGCTCGTTCACAGCCCTCAGAAAGAATCAACCTGACCAACACCTTGATTTTGGTCTTCTTGACTCCAAAATTGTGAGATAATAAGTTTCTGATGTTCTAAGCCACCCAGTTTGTGGCACTTTGTGATGGCAGCCCTAGGAAAGAAAAACACCATCCAACCTGTATACTTTTAATTGTTTTATTATTATTTTTTAAAGATTTTATTTATTTTAGGGATGCCTGGGTGGCTCAGTTGGTTAAGTGGCTGCCTTTGACTCAGGTCATGATCCCAGGGTCCTGGGATCGAGTCCTGCATCGGGCTCCTTGCTCGGTGGGGAGCCTGCTTCTCCCTCTGCCATTCCCCCTGCTTGTGCTGTTCACTCTCACTCTCTCTCTGACAAATAAATAAATAAAATCTTTAAAAAAATATTTTAAAAAAGATTGTATTTATTTTAGAGAGAGAGAGAGAGTGCACGCACCAGCAGAGAGAGGAGCAGAGGGAGAAGGAGGGGGAGATGACCTCCAGCAGACTGCTGAGCCAGAGCCCAATATAGGGCTCGATCCCAGGACCCTGAGATCACGACCTGAACCTAAACCAAGAGTCAGACACTCAACCGACTGAGCCACCCAGGTACCCCCGTATACTTTTTTAAAAGGGAAGATTCAGTTGTGTGGCTTTGTCATCATCCACTTCAGAGTCCTCCTCCTGAGCGGGTCTGGGAGCCCCAGAAGGGTCTGGCATCGTCCACATGCAGCCTTGAACCCATATTTCGAGGCTTAGCCCCCAGTCCAGTCAGCTGGAATATCTAGAGCCTGTGTCTGAGTCACAGCAGGGAAGAACCACTTAAGATCCTTAATGCAGAAGGTGGCAGAAGGTTTGACACACATTCTGAAGCATCATGGAGTCCAGTCCAAAAGTATCATGGACAATGTGAATCACAGTACCATCAAGTAAGACCAGTTAGGCTGAGATGAGGGCCGTCTGCAAAAAAGGTCTAAGCGGGAGCACAAACCTGGGTGCTACTACCTCTGGTGGGGAAGGGGCTGGTGAAAACACGACAGAGGAGGTTTTGAAGGAAGACCAGGCATTGACAAGGGGCCTCTAAAAGCCTCTAAGGCTCAGGCAGAAGAGGCGGAAGTGCCCAGTGTGAGCAGGAAAGGAGTGCTCCAGCACTCCTATGTGTCTTAGTGTAGAATGGGATTTTCTGAAAGGAGAAGATTAAATTCTATTCTAGTCAGCACTATTTCTGTTTTGAACAATTAAATTGGGAAATAACTAGACTTAATTGGAAAATAGCAGAAGAGCTAGTACTTTGGCTATAATGCAGGTCATGCCAATTGTCAGTTACTCATCGAGAGCCTGGCACATATTAGGTCTGCAGTAACTATTTGTTACATGAAAGAATGAGTTACAAACCATCTAATCTCTCTGGACATTTTTTTTTTTTTTCATCTGTTCAAAAATGGGATAAATTGGTATGGGGAGGTGATATACCTGTTCCATCTCTCGCAGATCCGTGATCAAAGGCAAACAGGGTGACAAAATGTGAAAACACTGTTGTTATGAACTGAATGTTTATGTTCCTCCCAAATCCATATGTTGAAGCCCTAACCCCCAGTGTAAAGGTATTTGAAGATGGGGCCTTTGGGAGGTAATGAGGCTTAGATGAGGTCATAAGGGTGGGGCCCTCATGGTAGGATCAGTGCTCTTTTTTTTTTTTTTAAGATTTATTTATTTGAGGGGTGGGGGAAAGCACGCAAGAGTAGGGGGGAGTGGCAAAGGGGGAAAGAGAATCCCAAGCAGACTCCCCGCCGAGTGTGGAGTCCAACATGGGGCTCAATCTCACGACCCTGAGATCATGACCTGAGCTGAAACCAAGAGTTCAGACACTCAACCCACTGAGCCACCCAGGCACCCCAGGATCAGTGCTCTTATAAGAAGAAATACACAGCGAGTTTACTCTTTTCCTATTCACCATGTGAGGACGCAGCAGGAAGGTAGCTATCTGCAAACCAGGAAGCCAGCTTTCACCAGAACGCAACCGTGCTGCCACTCTGATCTCAGACTTCCAGCCTCCAGAAAAGTGAGAAGATAAATTTCCATTATTTAAGCCCCCAAGTGCAGGGTATTTTGTTATGGCGGCCAGAGCAGACTAAGACAACAATGGGAAGACCTTTATGACTGTGAACTTTATAGAGTTCTGTATTGGGCAGGGGGGTGCGGTTCTGGCATGTGGCGCAGATTCTACCATGAATTAGCTACTTGCCTTTGGGCTCTTCCCTTGTAACAGCATAGGGGGTACAGGGACATTTCCAGGCACCATTCATACAGACTAGGACCCATCCTGTCCTAATGTTTGACCTTTTGTTTCTTCATCTATAAAAAAAAAAGGATGAGGAATGGAACATGGTATCTAACAGCAATTCATTTATTCTTTCAGCAGATATTTGTTGAGAATTGACTGTGTCTGAGGCACAGAGCCAGGTACTCGGAGACAGAGCATTGGAACAGGGTCTTGCCCTCCAGGAGTTTACAGAAAGGCACTTACAGCTTCCTGTGAGCAGAGTCTCTGTATTAGTCAGCTAATTTGCCGTAACAAAACATCACAGACTCAGGGGCTTAAACCACAGACCTTTATTTCTCATAATTCTGGATGCCGGAGGTCAGGGTACCAGCACATTGGTTTCCCCTGAGGCCCCTTCTCCCTGGCTTGCAGATGGCCTCCTTCTCTTCATGTCCCCTGTTGGCCTTTTCTCTGTGTGCATTGCTGGTGACTCTCCCTCTGCTTTTAAGAATACACGGGAGGGCGCCTGGGTGGCTCAGTTGGTTAGGCGACTGCCTTCGGCTCAGGTCATGATCCCAGGGTCCTGGGATCAAGTCCCACATTGGGCTCCCGGCTCAGCGGGGAGCCTGCTTCTCCCTCTAACTCTCTCCTCTCTCATGCTGTTTCTCTCTCGTTCGCTCTCTAATAAATAAATAAATAAAATCTTAAAAAAAAAAGAACACACGGGAGACTCTTAATCAGAGGAAACAGACTCAGGGTCACTGGAGGGGAGGGGGTGGGGGGATGGAGTAACTGGTCGATGGGCATTTAGGAGTGCACTGATGTAAGAGCACTGGGTGTTATATGCAACTGATGAATCACTGACATCTGCCTCTGAAACCAATAATACATAATGTTAATTAATTGAATTTAAATGAAAAAAAAGAATACCGGTCATTGGACTGAGAGGCACACCCATATGACCTCATTTAACATTAATTACCTCTTTAGAGATTCCATCTCTAAATACAGTCACTTGGGGCACCTGGGTGGCTCAGTCAGTTAAGCATCATGGGATCGAGGGTCCTGGGATCCAGTTCTGCATCAGGCTCCCTGCTCAGTGGGGCATCTGCCTCTCTCTCTCTGCCCTCCCCCAGCTTGTGGGCATGCTTTCTCTCTCTCTCAAAAATAAGTAAATAAAATTTTTAAAAAGTAATTAAAAAAATAAATACAGTCACTTTCTCAGGCATACTGGGGGTTAGGACTTCAACACATGGATTTAGGGGGAGGTCAGAGTTGAGTTCCTAATAGCCTCTATGACCAGGAAAGAAAAGGCACTGTGGAAGTACAGAGCAGGGGCATCTCGCCCAGACTTGGACTACCCGAAGCCTCTCGAGGAAGAGATCTAAGTTAACTGAAGGATGGGGCTGGCGGCAGGGGCTGCTATTCCGAATAAATATACGCTGTGAAGCACAAACCTTGTATATTTCACTTTTTTGTGGCCTCTGACTTTTTTTTTTTTTAATGTGTTTGGCCTTTGGTAGGAATAACAAAGAGGAACCCAAAAACACTCCAGAAGCCAATGTGCCTTGGGCAAGCCACCTTTCCTTTTTTTTTTTTTTTAAGATTTTTATTTATTTATTTGACAGAGAGAGACACAGCGGGAGAGGGGAACACAAGCAGTGGGAGCAGGAGAGGGAAAAGCAGGCTTCCCGCCGAGCAGGGAGCCCGATGCGGGGCTCAATCCCAGGACCCTGGGATCATGACCTGAGCCGAAGGCAGACGCTTAACGACTGAGCCACCCAGGCGCCCCGCCACCTTTCCTTTTTGCTTCAGCTTCCTTCTTGGTATAATCAAGCACTCCGCATTTATTATTTCCCAGACCTTAATGTGCCATGATTCTAGGGAAATCCTTAGGTATATTCACAGTTACTTCTCTAAAATACTGGGTTGACAATTCAGAAGCTTGGGGAAAGGGAGACATGGATTCTGTAGCCAAATGCCATATTAACTTTTGGAACATTATTAAGATCTCTTCTCTCTGTTTTCTAATAAGAACATGTAGATAAAGGGGAGCCTGGTGACAGGAGTAAGTCCAGACTCTCACACCAGCTCTGCATGACTTACCTACTCCAGGGTGACTTTTGCTCTGTAGGCCCCGGTGACGTCTGTGGGAAGGGGGTACAGGGCTGCAAAAGCAATGGATGCCCATTGTGGGAAAAAATAAAACCGAACATGACACAAAGGTATTATGTGAAAAAGTACATTCCTTTTCTCGCTCCCAGCCTATACCGTAGGGGAAACCATGCCTCCCCGTTTTCCACATCTTCTAACTTACGCTGAAATATATGTATTTGTTTTTCTTTTTTTTACAAAAACAGGATGATACTACTTATGTTGTCTGGCACACAGGAGTGTGACAGCACCTGGCTCCAGGGGTCCCAAACAGACCAGGCTTAGCCAGCCGCCACTGACAAAATCCAAAGGCAGAGAAACAAATGGTGGTGGAACAAGAAAGGAATTTATTTATTTATTTATTTATTTATTTATTTATTTATTTATTTATTTAAGATTTTATTTATTTGAAAGAGACAGACACAGCGAGAGAGGGAACACAAGCAGGGGGAGTGGGAGAGGGAGAAGCAGGCTTCCCGCCGAGCAGGGAGCCCGATGCGGGGCTCAATCCCAGGACCCTGGGATCATGACCTGAGCCGAAGGCATATGCTTAACAGCTGAGCCACCCAGGCGCCCCAAGAAAGGAATTAAAAAAAAAAATTTTTTTTAATAATCTCTATACTCAGACCTGGGGGCTCAAACTCATGACCCAAGATCAAGAGTTGCATGCTCTTCCGACTGAGCCAGCCAGGCACCGTGCACAAGAATGGAATTTATTTAAATGAAGCCAACAGTGGGAGGAACACAGAGTAGCCTCTAGAAGACTATCTCCAAAAGGCTGAAACTACTTCCAGGTTTATATAAGGAAAATGTGGGGCAAAGGTGGGCAGGTACCTGCAGGTAGGCAGTGAAGGTCAAAAGGATCAGTGTCCTGGAGTCAATCCTGGGAGGGGTCTTGTAGGCTCAGGGCAGTCCTTGCTGGTCAGGGGATAGTTTTGGCTCCCATTAGCGGATGCTCTGCCCTCAGGGTCTTCCGCCTGAGCCAAGAGACAAACTGGAAAGAACCCAACTAGAAAAGTTTGAGGTCAAAACGGAGACAGCCCAAGTCCTCTTTCAAATAGATCTCTAATTGTCTTTTACTCAAATGTGGCATTGACATTCATTCTTCTGTCCCCATAAAAAAGAGTACTTCTCTTTCTAAAGCCTATGTAGTATGCTAGCATGTGTCATTTATTGAACAATTTTTCAAAACCCCTCCCATTTTTTTGCTAACATGAATGATCCTGCAATGAACATACTTGTAGATGTAGCTTTGGTTGAGTAGTTCCCCTCGAAGGATTCCTAGAAGTAGAACCGCTGGATCTCGAGTTCATTTTTATGAGGTGTTTCATTGTACAGAAAAAAATTTAGGTCAAATAAGACCCCCCAAAAATGTGTGTATCTATGTATGTATACCATTTCATTTAAAAAGTCTTGACTCACAGCATGAAATAATTTCTTAAAAATTGGCCGGTTACTAGACTAGTATGTCTTCTTTTTCTTCTTTTTTTAATGGGCACTGATTGGCTGGGAAACCAGCCTCCCCTTACTCCCTGCTTCCTGACAGTCGCAGCTGTGTGATCAGCGTGGGGACTCCTGACTGCAGGCCCGTGGGCGCCCCTCTGGGTGTGGGGGCCCTGGTGGCTGCTACGCCTCCAGCCAGCACTCTGGACTCAGAATGAGCTATAGTTCAGATTGGCATTTGTTTTCTCAAGGGCTTGAAATTGAGAGTGGAATTGCAGCAATTTTCACTCTTCCTAACATTTCTTTTTGCAGAATCCTATTGTGCAAGCCAGATATCCAACTAAAATCAGATCTTAATGGCTGTGTTGGGTACTTAAAATCTCAAGCTGCTATAAATTATTAAATAGGCCTCAACACAGAAGAAGAACTGCCCAGCACAAATTCTCTGCAGCTTTTTCATTCAAAACTTAATCTTTTCCCCCATATTGGGTCGTTTACCGGCTCCGGATTCCGGTAAAGGTAGGTCTCCCCGCTCCCACCCCCCCCAGCACACAAGGGGTTAAACTTAACTCCCGGAGCCTAATTTCCCAAACAAAAGCCAGTTTTGCAAGTTATTTTTCAAGGTGTGTCTTTCCATAAGTTCTATTTAATAAAGTTAATACATGTTCCCACTTCCCTTCTTTTTTTCCCTTCTTACTTCTCTGTTGTCAGTATTCATGGAATCTGGATCTGTCAGCTACTTATGTTTGAAGTGGAAGAATTGGCAAAATTATACATCCAGCAGGCAAGAAATAAAGTGGAAATGTCTCACAAGTAACACTGAAATCTGTTGCGTTGTTTTAAGACTTAACTACTGAGAAGAAAAAAAAAAAGCCCTACTAAATATTGTCTTGGCAACTATAAATATATTTTAGCGATGATAAAAACCTTTAGAATAGCAGCTACAAGATATCTGAAAACTAATGCCTATCTGTCTGCCACTCTCAATTATATATATTTATATTCTATATATCCCATTCTTCATTAAATGCTGTGCAATTTTCCTTTTGAGTTGCTGTAGTGTTTTATGTGAATCCTTTATATGGCCAAGGAGCCAATTTCCCCCCCTGCTGCATTTTACTCAGGTAAGATTGGAAATGAGCTCATTAGATCAATTGCTGCAACTCTAATTTGAAAACTTGAAAAATGCATTTCTAACTAAGAAATTTCCAATCATGCAGATATCTAAAACTCGGTTTTCTTTTTTTTTTTTTTTTCAGGTCTTTCCACACATCCCCATGAACCAGGAACCGTCACTCCTACTGACTTCTTAGGGTTGTGTTGGGCAGGAATTGTGTTTTTTATACCTCATTCCTCTCCCCATCTTACTCCATGTTTATTCATTTTTTTTCAGAAGGCATTACTTTTATCCACTTGCACTTTCAGACCTATTATTTTTTTTTTCAGGGCTATTATTTTTTAAAGCCTCCAAAATACAAGTTAGATACAGCTATTCCAGTGCAGCTTTGGAGGTTGTTTTCACCTTCATATACTATTTTCCCTTATGAAACAAAACAAAAAACATACAAAACCATTTGAGGGTAGGCCATTTCCTAGATAGCAATGATTTTCATTTCCGTTAATAACTTATTTGGAATGAACAGCTTACTTTGTTAAGTAGATTGATCCAGTTATGCAAATTAAGATGTGTAATTTACAATAATACTCAAGGTCACTTTGTTATTTTCTAAGATGTTTTTAAAAAGTCAGCCGTCAGGTAAGCACGCTGCTCGCCTTAGATGCTATTTATTAATAAAATTATTGTATTTGGTTTCAAATATGAACAAAGAAATGTTGGTTTCTATTATTTTTATTTCTATTGTTTTACTATTTAATTTCTCCTTAAATACCTCGGTTGTTACTGTGAAAGGGCTGAAGATACAGATCTTCACAACACATATCTCATCTAATCCCCTTTGTAAAAATGTAACAAGGTCATTTTACATTTTTAAACCACTTCTGCAAAGTGGTTTAAAAATGCAAAGTGAGCTTAAATGCTACTCTTAACTCTTCCTAACTCTTCTACCGGGAAATCCTAGAAAACTGAACTAATGAAATGCAACTTATACTCTTTAAATTCTAATTATAACTGTCAAATTAAATTGAAGGTGAGACTAAAACTGCTGTATCTGTTACGTGAGTCAAGCGATGTACTGGATCATACGTGTTATTTAATGTGCAAGTGTAAAAGTCAAGTTGCCGGCAGAAATCGAAGTGCCTCCATTCTGTCTTCTGAGAATGTATAAATTAACCATTCTCCCCCAAGCGGTCCTCCTCCCTTCCTCCCTCCGCCCTATTTTAAATGTAGATAGGGCGTCTCAAGTCTTTTGAATTTGAAGGGCTGCTATCTCGGCCCCATTCTTTTCATCATCCTGTTTTGAATGACACTGAGCACGTATAGATTCTTTTATAAAAGCACCCCCTGGATGCAGAGCTCGGTTCTCCCGGAGGCTTGCTAATTTTGCATAGCAATTAGTACTGACTTCTCAAAATGGGCTATCCAAATGCAGCCTCCAGAATGTTCCACGTAGTTCCTCAAAGGTCTTAGATAACCGTGCGCCTTTTGATTTCAAACCCGAAGGGAAAGAACTTGCATAATTACTAAATTCCCAACTGGAGTGGCCCGGAGGAGGACACGGTAATCCAAAACTCTTACGTTAATTCAAACCCTCCCCGCAACTGGGCAGCAAGGAGCCAGCATATGCCTTCTTTTAAAATCTATTCTACCTATTCACTGACCGCGCAGGGCTGGGCCACATGGCTCTCTCTTGCAGCCAGTCAGCTGTGAGCAGCAGATGGGATCATTTGCATTTTTCTTTTTATATTTACTCCGACCGGCAAATTAAAGGCTTTATAAAAAAATCTACATTCTCATTGTTTGCCTAAAATACAAAAGTGGTTTAACTGTTGGATTGGGCTTCCCTGACCTTCACACGCCACACCCCTTCAAGTCACTGAGACTTAAGAAAATACCCGAGGGGTAGGTTTCGTATTTATCAACTTGCAATCTACAGTCCGGGAGTTAGGAGTAGAAAGAATCAGCCTTTATTGAATTGGTGACTCGTGTTTTTCTATTTTCAGCGCTCGGCGCAGATACCCCGTGGGTTTGTCTGTGGCATGTGGGTCTGCGAGCGCGCGCACTTCTGAATCTCTTGCTCTGTAGCCTCAAACCTCAAAACTTCGCGTTACAAGTAGAAGGCTGATTTTCAGCCCAGGCTTACAACAGAGGGCGGCCACCCTGCCGGGGGAGTGGCCAGAGCCAGCGTTTCCAGTGTTTCCCAGTGCCGGGGTCGCTCCCCCGCGCCCCGCCAGACTCCATGCCGGCTTCGCGGGGCCCCGGGGGCCCACTCGGGTCCCCGCGCCCCGAGGTCTTTGTGCGGATCGCGGCGCGGGAACACCCGCCCGGGGGGCCAGGGCCACGACCGGGATGCCAAAAACTGGGGAGAGACGCGGGCGCGAGGGGAGGAGACGACCCGCAACAGTCGCCGTCCCGCGGAGGAAAAAAAAAAAAGTAGAAAAAGAGGCTTTTCAGGTCAAACTCCTCGGGTCTGAGC